TCTCTCTCTCTCTCTCTCTCTCTCTCTCTCTCTCTCTCCCCATCCATCCATCCATCCATCCATCTATCTATACATCCATTAAATATTCCATTCCTCTCTCCCTCCCTCTCCCCCTTCTTGCTACCCTGTTACATTTTCAGGTGAGTGACTGCATCTGCCTCATGTCCATGGGTCATCTTGGGGCTATCCCAGTGGACACACATGTATTCCAAATTGCTGCTCGTGATTACCTCCCACACCTACGTTCTTGCAAGACAGTCACTGACAAGGTCTACAAGGAAATTGCCAATCACTTCCGCCAGATCTTTGGCGAATATGCCGGTTGGGCGCACTCAGTAAGATTTTTTAATCTTATTCATAATTTTTAGTATTATGGTGTGATTTAAAATCTGTATTTATTGTTATTATTGTCATTTTTGTATTTTCACATTGATTTTTTTTAATGTTCTGTTCATTGTTATTGAGTTTAGTATTATTTTTCATGTTTACACAATATGCTTTTCAACTTTTCATTCATGGAAGACCTATAATTCACAGATTTTAATTGACATATTCAGCTGAATATGCATATGTACAAATGTAAAAGGACTAGTGAAAAAAAAATTCTTACTGGAATCAAAAGTTATCAGAGTAAGTTGTAACTTTTTTACTTTGTTCCTTTAAAGGTTCTCTTCAGTGCTGACCTCAAGAAATTTGACAGTCTTAAGAAGGATGAAAGTGAAGAGCAAAATCAGAAGAAGAAGAAAAAGAAATAATGGGAAATAGAGAGATGAAGATCCATGGGAAAGAATTATCAGCTAGGGGAGTTTTTCATGTTGGTTGGTCTATAAATGTACAAAGTACAGTATACATCAGTGCAGATGTTTTAAGAGAGATATTTTTAGTTAGTCTCTTGTGTGAGTGAAGGATGGTCTGTCCTTGTGCTGGCTTGCTGAAATTCACTTATTTTATATAGAGGGTGATAAAGTGTGTTAAGAGAATTTTGCAAATACTCAGGTGAGAAAGATAGAAAGACAATAACTATTTTATGGAAAACTATATTTAATGCTATTTAATGTTTTTATAATTTATTTAGGGAAGTTCATGTAACTGAGATGAATCAGCTTTAGTTAATATGAAAAGATCAGCACCATGTGTGATATCCTAATTCCATATAGAATCTTTGAATTTATTTCTATGTAATTTATGTAATTTTTTTATATGTACTTGACATGCATCTACTGTACCTAGTAGTCTCAATAACAATAACAGACATTTCCAGGGTAAAGGATCTTGCACTTTGCACTCCATCCTGGCCTGCATCTCTAGTATGTTTTCATTGTGTCAGTCACACATTGAAAGGAAGAGCCAGCAGCTGTGAGGAATCATTCTCATTATATAATGCACTGTTCATCACATCAGAGGGAGACACATCATGTTCATTATGCTGAAAGAACAGTTTTTGTTTGCTTGATACAAAGAGAATGGTGTGGGTAATTGGCTTGAGATCTATTCTTACCCATATTTGTTCTGCTTTTATGTGCTGTATTCCTTAAAAGTATAAATGAAGGCAGAAATTTAGGTGAAGTTCCATTTACATCAGAATTAGATAATTCAGGGTAATGAAATATTCATCTTGTATTGTGATGTAATGCATTCTCTTCCGTACCTTTTTTAAAATACATTCAGTCATTTCTGAGGTTTTATATGTAGTTTGGCATTCTGTGTTATTCAAGACTTTGACACTTTCTAAAGAAGGAGCAAATAAAATGCATTGAACTATTTTACTGAATCTTTCTCAGGTTTGAGTACATGTATTTTAAGGATGAAATAAATATATATTCTATCATGGTATTTTTCTTATACAAAAGAACCAGCTGATATATTCTTTAGGTATTAGTCTCACATCCTTGTGCTCATTACATTTATAGTTTTAAATATTTATATGTAAATAAATGGCATTTAGTTGAAAGAGAAATGATGATTTTTTCAAGTATTACATATTTTAATTACATTGAAAGTTGTCTCACAGAAGAGAGCATTTTTTATAAGTGTTGATTTTATTCAGTAATGTACAGTAGCAGAAAGTAAAACATCAAAATGTTTAAAACTACTGAGGTAAAAAACTAGAAAAGATTACACTACTGTAGCACTGCAAGAAACAACGAAAATAAAAGATGTGATATAGAATACAAAAACCATGTGAGATTATTTCTATACAGATAAATTCCCTTTCTCTTTTTCTTTCTCCCTCTCTCTCTTTCTTTCTCTCTCTCTCTCTCTCTCTCTCTCTCTCTCTCTCTCTCTCTCTCTTCCAACACTTTGAGATACCACATGCATCTAGTGATGAACACAGACTTTACTTATGGGAGGAGCAAGAGCAAATGGAAAGACAGTGTGACCCAGACTTGGATATAAATACTACTGAGAGTTAAGTGTTCAGGCATGCGAGCAGGAAAAAGAATGCAGGGTGTGTAGTTTATCTAGATCACATACACTGATACACTGTATATAACAGTCCTATGCTTCAGACACAGAAAAGCAGAGATAACAGCTTTACCTGAACAGGTCGTATGGATGATTAGGAATGGTCAGGTATTTGAGATTTTGAAGAGGTACAAGCAGTCTGCACCAATATCATAAACATACCTGGCGAATATGCACAGGTATGNCGTCGCCGCTCGTTACACACATGGGTCGGGAATTTAAATTGACCTGCACGAGGATGAGTATGGAGGTGCTCTGGGGTTCTCGCCTCTCCTTTTCTTCTTTCTTCTCGTTCGCTTTTTGCGCTTTCCTTTCGCCATTGTTTATTCTTGTTTTCTTTGTGATATGTATTTGGCAGTATATAGTGGGTGTACGACACCAGAAGACACACGCACACATTACACAGAAAGCAGAACACGGCAACATTACACACAGGATTGTAATATATATATAATATATATATTATATATATATATATATATATATATATATATTAATATATATAGTATATATATATGATATTAAATACATACATGCATACATTTCACTTTTCATACATACAATTCAAACGTAATATGCATGCATGAAAATATACAGTATACACATACCACATACATACAATAACGTGCTTAAAACAGTAAATACATGAACATTCATACATACACGTAATACGACATAATTACAACACACATCAGATATGTTATCAAATTATGCACACATAGATACATATATACCATGCAACACAACAAACACATACATACAACATATATACATGTATAATATATATATATATAATTATATATAATAACTATATATTAATATAATATATAATATGTTGTGTGGCTGTGTGTGTGGCTGTTGTGTTGTCGTGGTGTGTGTGTGTGTGTGTGGTGTGTGTGTGTGTGTAAAACGATATAGATATAAATAAAGTAATATATCAATAGCTTAAAATACCACGACGGCTGATAGCAACAAATATTATGCCAGCCTTTTGTCATTCGCAGTAATATTTACATCTTAATCTTTTGGTTATCCTCATCTCCATCATCTCCGCCGGTCAGACCATCATCGTTGTCAATCAATCATCGCTCATCACTAATCAATCATCCACAGTCATCATCATCACCACATCAAATCACCAAAAACCCCACCAGACCATCACACCACCTACCATCATCATAATTCATCATACCACCACCATCATCACCATCACCCATCACTTTGATCAATCGCTATTATCATACGTATTAATGTTAATCTTCCTCCCTTGACCACACCAGTGATCCATAATTCATCGCTTGTTACTTTCATTCCAGACAATCTTTGCTCATTCCGATGTGCCCGCTTTAATGGTTTCCAGTGGGAGGGGGTGGAGGAGGAGGGAGGAGGGAGGGAGGGGGTGGGAGGGAGAGAGGGGGGTGGAGGGGAGGGAGAGAGGGGGTGGGAGGAGGGGAAGGAGAGGATGGGGGGGAAGGAGAGATGGGGGTGGGAGGGGAAGGGGGGTGGGAGGGGGGAGGGGGGGAGAGAGGGGGAAGGAGAGGATGGGGGAGGGAGAGAGGGGTGGAGGGAGGGAGGGGGGAGAGAGGGAAAGAGAGAGGATGGGGGGAGGGAGAGAGGGGGTGGGAGGGAGGGGGAAGGAGAGGGGGGAGGGGAGAGAGATGGGTGCGAGGGAGAGGGAAGAAGTGAGGAGGGAGAGATCAGAGAGGAGAAAGGAAGGAAAGAGAGAATGAGGCATACACACACACACACACACATACACACACAGAAGGAGGGAGGGAAGAAGAGAGAGGAGAGGGAGAGACAGAGAGGAGAGAGAGAAGGGAAGGAGAAGAGGAGCAAGGAGAACGGGTGAGAGGCAAGGAAAAAGAGACAAAAATAGGGGGTTAAAAAGAAGAAAGAAAACGAAAAAGAAAGACAGAAGATAGACAACTATAAACAGGAAAGACGAAGAAAGCGAGAAAGAGGAATAGAGAAAGACGAGGAAACAGCCAGAAGATACAGAGATTAGTGTATGTGGAAAACAGAACCCGAAAGAGAGGAAGGGAAGAAAGGAAGAGGGAGGGAGGGAGGAAGGGAAGGGGGGAGGAGGAGGAAGAGGGAAAAAAATTACAATTATTTCCCATAAAGGCGAAACGTCTAAATCTGGCGGAGCCATGTTTACCCGACCTGCTGTGATGGACGCGAGGGAGGGAGAGGGAGAGGGAGAATAAGGGGAAAGGGGACGAAATGAGGGGATGGGGGAGACGAAATAAAGGAAGGGAAGAGGTGGACAAGGAAGAAGACGAAAGAGAGGAGATGGACAAAGCGAAATGAGGGAAGGGAAGAGGTGGAAAGGGAAGAAAAACGGAAGAGGAAGAGGTGAAAGAGGGTTGGAGGAGGCGAATAAAGGAAGGGAAGAGGTGGAAATGGAAGAAAGCGAAAGAGAGGGGATGGAGGAGACGAAATAAAGGAAGGGAAGAGGTGGAAAAGGAAGAAAAACGGAAGAGGAAGAGGGCGAAAGAGAGGGGATGGACAAGGCGAAATGAGGGAAGGGA